GTTTGAAACTTTTTTCGATTAAATGCCTAGATTCTAAGATACGGCCATTTTTACCCTTTTTTTCGTTACAGCCACATCGTATTGCAAAAAAATTAGCACCATTCGATTCAGCGACGTCGAATTACCTTTGTATCAAACTGTCGAGAACTTCTACCTGAAAGTTTTTCCTTCACCTCTTATTGACTGGGCTAAAATGGACTTAGACCACTTTTAAAATAAACGGTCTATATATCGTATCAATTGGAAATATCGCGATCGTTCCTTTTTTTTTTTTTTTTAATAAATCATTTCGTGTTTTTTYTTTTTTTTTTTTTTTACATTTATTTCTCTTAACGAAGCGAGTCCTTGTTTTTTTCTTTTTTTCTTTTTTTCTTAACGTAGCAATGAAATAGCAATATTGCAAATTGAAAGAAAAGAAAAAAAACAGCGAAGCGAATGAATTGACGTGAATTAATATACTCTCGTCAAACAGAGTTTAACAGGTTTAATGCTTGCTGCAGCGGTATCTTTGTTTATCAGCCAGCTACTTGTAACTAATCATCATCGTTCTCATTTGAAGATGTAGAGACTTATTTCTTTTTTTTACTTCGAAGAAAAGTTACTTTTCCAAAGATGGAATTCGTATCGATCGTTGGTAAGTTGTTAAGAACCTACACGATCGATCGATCGATCGATAGATAGATCGATTAATTCTTGCATCGTAAAAGCTCACAAGACTTCGTCGTTCGCATTTGATCGTAATGTATTCAAGAAAAATCATGATGTATTTGAACGGTGTATCGGCTTGATCGTTGTAACGTAATACTATGAACATGACGTCATCTTTAGAAATGATTCTCAACGACACACACATACATACATACATACATACGCCATAATGTGTGCGATAATTTTGAAAATAAATCTGACGAAAGATTTCGTTGGTCGTCGTTTAACTATTTTCGGATCTTACACGAAACTATATTCTCTCGTATTACTTACGATAGATTTGCTATCCAATGAAATTGAATAATTTGTCACAGCTGCATGAGATTCGCCAAAGTTGCCAATAATCTTACATTTTTATTGAAACGATTTTTATCATTTTTAGAATAATATAATTAACTAGATATTTCTTTTTGATACATCGCTAACTCGTGGAATTTTTATGACATTATCAAAATTAATCGTATGTTACTATCGTTAAAGTGTACAAGATTACGAGTTCTTAATTTGTTAAAAATAAATTTCGTCCTTCTTTTTTTTTATTTTTTTTTAATATCAATCACCTGTTTAATTACTGAGAAAATAATTACATATTTAATTTAGTCAACCTATTTCTCGACCAAAGTTATTTAAAAAAAATCTTTTAAATCGTGTAACGTTCTCTTTTGACCGATTTTATATGTATATTTGTGTGTGTGTGTGTGTGTGTGTATGCGCGTCTACGTGATAAAAATATAAATCTTTGTATTAGTAATACTTTGAGATATTTTTTTTTTCTTTCAAAAGCGTACGATTAATTATGCAGGATAGTTTGCATCTTTTAATTATTGGATATGTCAAGAAAATATTGAATACATTGGAATGTAATGTCATGGGATTACGGAGATAGTTTCTTCTCGCGTATATCTACTTTAATGAAACAGACGTCTGTTTCATTAAAGAAATAAAATAAATAAGAAAAAAGCGAAAGAGGAGGAGATTCGATCGTACGTAAGTATCTGCGATGAATTTTATCGGGATATTTCTATATGCGATGTCCATTCACAATGAGAATGGACGGTGGCCATTATTCCAGCACAATAAATAGGGACTCCAAGCTGTTGCACGAGCACCGGGGCATTTTTTTATAACGTATGATAATAATTATTGGCATTCGTGCATGGAAAAACATATACCGTATAGGTTTGAGATACGTCACGTTCGATTCTTTTAAATTGCCCGATGAACGTTCACGGACGAATTAATTAACGTTGCCGTTGGCAGGTTGTTTCCGAACGACGTGATTTGTATTTGATATTAATCGATGCTACTGGAATTGCCGGAAATGCAAGAGCAAGTATCATATTGATACTAATTTCTATTCAAAGAAAATAGAATGAATGAATAAATATTATTATTATTATTATTATTATTATTATTATTATTTCCAATGAATTGAATATTGTTTGTTTGTTTGTTCATTTAATTATAATAATAATTATTTCATATAACAATACGAATCGTTTTATGTCCAGGTGGAGTCAGTCGAATTAGCATTGAAAATTCTCGACGGATGGAAGATAAGAGGGAAAACGTTGTCGGTGCAAAGGGCTAAATTTCAAATGAAGGGAGAGTACGATCCGGCGTTAAAACAAAAACGAAAAAAGAAGGATAAAGATCGACAGAAGAAGATCCACGAGAGGTTTGTTAAATATCAATTATTAGTTAGTTAGTGGTTGGTTGATTGCTTGCTTGCTTGCTTGGCTTTGATATATATAAATTTTGTCAATATAATTTCAATTGGCGTTGAAATGAAAAATGTCTTGATAAGATAAATAGAGAGAGAGAGAGAGAGAGAGAGAGAGAGAGAGAGAGAGAGAGAGA